ACGAATCAAGTCATTGATTTCTTACTCGCATTGAGTTATGTATCAGTCAATTCTAGATGAAGTAGTTTAAAAGTTAGGTCTTATGGCATAACGTCACCCTAAAATGTTGGATATTGTTCAAATTAACAATGTGGAGTGATTTTGAAAGTGATGGAAGTGATTAACCATGAGAAAAATAAGCGAAGAATGAGAACAAAAAACGGCGAAGGCCGAAAAATGACCCGGCCTTGTGTTGCAATTACAGTGGCCATTTTATTGAACGGGGCAGGCTCTCGATATTGTACTGGGCAACCACCCATTAAAAAAAATTATCTGTTGGGGTTTTTAATTCTGGTATCATTTTGAAGAATTTTACACCCTTTTGACTTGATTTTTGCACATTTTCATACATGGTGATTGTAATTCTATATATATAAGTGGTTTTTATGATTTGAAACATATTACAAATATCATATTGATTCCATTACATCTAAAATCTAAAATCAAATCAAGTTTTTATAATTTTGTTCTTTAGTCCATTTTTCCTAGTTTTATTTTGCTTGATTCAAACTTGGGTTAAGGTTTGTTAACTCCTACAAACTATTTTCTATAAAGCCTTCAAGCACTTACCCAGTGGTTGCAAATATCGTTTGAGGATAGCGAATCATAATAGTGTTCAAACCTTCCATTTTGGTGATTTCTTGTTGGTGATTTTTTTTCCGTTGTTCGTCAACTTTCTCAAAAATCTCAAATGATATTTAACATGGAGAACGAGACAACCATGACTACGATAAAGATGATGAATCAAGACCTTGTGAGACTTGACAGATTCGACAGTTCGAATTTTACAAGATGCAAGGACAAATTGAAGGTTCTTCTCACAACCTTGAAGTTCTTCTACATTTTGGATCCCGACTTGGCACAGTTGCCAGAACCAACCCCCAATGACACAGAAGAAACAAGGGCCGAAAGGAAGAAGAGAAAAAAAGATGAATTGACATATGGAGGATGCATTCAGAACTCTTTCTCTGATCGCTTCTATGATCTCTACACAAATAACACCTCCACAAATGAGATATGGGAATTCCTGTGTCATTGTAAAGGGTTTTACACTCGTTTGACTTAGTATTTGCATATTTTCGTGCATGGTGATTGTAATTCTATATATATGAGTGGTTTCCATGATCGAAAACATATCACAAACATCATATTGATTACATTACATCCAAAATCTAAAATCAACCTAGGTTTTTATAATTTTGTTCTTTAGTTCCTTTTTCCAAATTTTGTTTTGCATAATTCAAACTTGGATTAAGGTTTATTTACTCTTACAAACTATTTTCCATAAAGTCTTCAAGCACTTACCCCGGTGGCGACAAATATCGTTTGAGGATAGCGATTCATAATCGTACTCAAACCTTCCATTTTGACGATTTCTTGTTGCTAGTATTATTTTCGTTCTTCATCAACTTTCTCAACATAAACTTTACTCTTTATCGTGACTGTTGATCAACTGGTGATAATTCCTTTTTCAGCAGGGCATCCTTATCGTGATGAGTCTTGGTGTGACTTTGTACCTATGGCTGCTTGTCACCTCTTGTTGGGTCGTCCATGGAAGTTCGTGTCAATACATAGAACTTCACCATTTAAGGAAAAAGGTTATTTTCTCTACTTGTAAACTAATTAAAGCAGTTTCTCATCCTTTTAGCACCAACTTATTATCTCAGGCTTTTTTTGAGAACGTTTTTGGAGAAGTTTTCAGATGTTTCCTACATGAACTCCTTTCTAGTTTGCCACCTTTCCATGATATTCAACACCAAATTGACTTGTTGCCTAACTGCCCGCATAATAGAATGAGTCCTACAAAACATGAGGAACTCCACCATGAAGTGTATTAAGACTTGGGAGTTCCATTTTAAAATGTCAACTTATTAAGAAGAGTAGCCAAAATCCTTATTGGTCTATCTTTTGGTAATTAGTTGATGTGGAACTTATCCATTAACATGTCACTGCAACATAATGGTTTGTTTAAGCAAATCAGTCTTAATCCTTGTATTTGTTTTTTAGTCTTAATCAGATTGAATTGCTTGTTAAAATTTAATGAACTCTGATACCCTATTAATATGAGTTCCAACACCTATTAAGAGAAGTAGCCTAACCCCTAATATGTTGGTCTATATTTTTGTAGTTTGTGGATGTGGGATTTATCCTTTAACAAGGTAGAGTGCTTTTATTATGAAGTTACATCACGAAAAGTTAGATTCCTTGTGCCATACCATCTTTGTTCACCCTAACGAAATATGACTCTAGGTGTATGTATGTGGTAGTTACGCTAATCTATGAAAATTTCTAGTAGGAATCATTTTCCTATTCCTCAACTTGATGACATGTTAGACTAGCTTGGTGGTGCCACTGAGTTTAGTAAATTAGATCTTAAGAAAGGTTATCATTAATTTGCATTCACCAAGGGGATAAGTGGAACTCTGCATTTAAGACACAAGAGGGTCTCTACAAGTAATTGATGATGCCATTTGGTCTGTCTAATACTCCAAGCCCATTTATGAGGGTTATGAATCAAGCTCCCCATCCTTTCATTGGAAAGTTATGTAGACGACATCTTGGCGTATGATCGCAACACATGCAATCATATTGAGTACCTTCGTCAAGTGTTATTCTTCGGTGCAATGATTTCTTTACAGCAAAACATAAGTGTGTTTTCCTCACAGATAGTGTGTTGGAATTAAGCTCCTTTGCCAGATGAAATTTACCCACCCGGTTGACCTACTCTCACNATAATAGAATGAGTCCTACAAAACACGAGGAACTCCACCATGAAGTGTATTAAAACTTGGGAGTTCCATTTTAAAATGTCAACTTATTAAGAAGAGTAGCCAAAATCCTTATTGGTCTATCTTTTGGTAATTAGTCGATGTGGAAGTTATCCATTAACATGTCACTGCAACATAATGGTTTGTTTAAGCAAATCAATCTTAATCCTTGTATTTGTTTTTTAGTCTTAATCAGATTGAATTGCTTGTTAAAATTTAATGAACTCTAATACCCTATTAATATGAGTTCCAACACCTATTAAGAGAAGTAGCCTAACCCCTAATATGTTGGTCTATATTTTTGTAGTTTGTGGATGTGGGATTTATCCCTTAACAAGGTAGAGTGCTTTTATTATGAAGTTACATCACGAAAAGTTAGATTCCTTGTGCCATATCATCTTTGTTCACCCTAACGAAATATGAGTCTAGGTGTATGTATGTGGTAGTTACGCTAATCTATGAAAATTTCTAGTAGGAATCATTTTCCTATTCCTCAACTTGATGACTTGTTAGACTAGCTTGGTGGTGCCACTGAGTTTAGTAAATTAGATCTTAAGAAAGGTTATCATTAATTTGCATTCACCAAGGGGATAAGTGGAACTTTGCATTTAAGACACAAGAGGGTCTCTACAAGTAATTGATGATGCCATTTGGTCTGTCTAATGCTCCAAGCCCATTTATGAGGGTTATGAATCAAGCTCTCCATCCTTTCATTGGAAAGTTATGTAGACGACATCTTGGCGTACGATCGCAACACATGCAATCATATTGAGTACCTTCGTCAAGTGTTATTCTTCGGTGCAATGATTTCTTTACAGCAAAACATAAGTGTGTTTTCCTCACAGATAGTGTGTTGTTCCTTGGCTGTAGATTCTCTGAATGGTTTGTCAGTTGTTGAAAGCTAGAGAATAGCTATTCATGATAGTCCGTCTTATATCTCATATGTGCAGGGTCCACAGTCTAGCTTCTTTTTACAGGTAGTTTATTCCCCATTTCAGCTCCATTATCAAGTGAGAGAAAATTCTTGTGGTCTTACGATGCACAACACACCAATTAAACATAAGCTTACTTCGGCACCTATTTTGGTCCTCCCTAATTTTTCTTTACCTTTTGAGCTTCATTGCGATGCATTCAAAGTCAGTATTGGCATGGTCTTGAGCAAAGAGGGGGCCCTATTGCTTATTAAAGTGAAAAGTAATCGAATGCTAAATGTTGCTATAGTACTATTGACTTAGATCTACCAGTTGTTCGAACAAAGAGATTACTGCTACACGGTCGCGAAAAATAGTTCTGTTGAGACTCAGAGACTGCCCATGTCACCATGTGCTGATGCATGTGTGTCATCTCACTGATGGATCTCCACTAGCTGTGCTTCCTAAGTTGGATTCCAATGTCTAGATGCCATGATCAGGAGTGTGGACACTTTGTACCAAAATAACAACGTGGGATCGAGAAAGATGTGAATCCAAGATATATGAACTTGTTGATTGATAATAAATACCAAGAAAGGATCAACAATTGGAAAAAAAAAATCCAATATATTATTAGTTTTCTTCAAAAGCAACCAAGGATTGCAAAAACATAACCGTCTTTTAAATACTATAAAGACCAAATAATAAATCAAAAAGACAAACTATATGGAAAGACAATAATTTTAAAATGACATGAGGTAATAACCATAATTCTAGGTGTACGAATTAGCTGCAATTTCTATAGTTTTGTGATTAGTTTCCATAATGTAATGATTTATACACGATTCTCTCTACAAATTTATCCACCACATGCTTTTTTGCATCACTTCATAATCTCTTAAGGGAAACAGGTTCTCCCTCAATCTCGCTATTCCAGGCCATAAGAGGTTCACAATCATCCTCTTTCACCTAGCCTAGAGGTTCACCAATGGGCGGACCACTTAACTAGTCTCTTACTATTCAGGCGCATACCCCAGAACTTGCATATTGAGCCAATGGACAAATTTTTATTTTTATTTTTTTCTACTAGGCTGATACTTAAAATAAATGGGCTTGGGGGGAGGGGCAAGCCTAGCCCCCAATCCCTCCTCCCCTGCACTCAGCGAAGCAATTTTGGCTCAGCAAGGCACTAGGATGTCGAGGCTTGGTAATTCTGGCAAGGTGTATGTGGTTTGCGTCGTGAGGTGGCAAATGCATGCTACGTGGCTTTCGTCTTCACATTTCATTTGTATGTAGCACACAGGGATGTAGTAACACAAAACAAGTTCAATGTAGTCTGTATATCATCTTTGTATTCAGCTGGTTTATTTTCACTCTGGGCACTTGGCATGTATATCTCTATTTTGTTCTTTTTCTTCTGCACGTGTCTCTTCTCATTCTGCCTGAGCTATTACATCATCTTCTTGTTAGTCTCTCTTATCCCCCACAATATACATCTTATCTCTCTATATTATAAATGCATCAGTGCTCAGGTGATTTACCAGAGATGTGAGACCTTGAAAGCTGCTTTTTCAAGTGTCAATAGAACGTTCTGAATGTCACCAGCTGGTAGAATGGAGGCAAAGATAGCCCGCAAAGGTAAAAGCCAGAGCTCGCCAGCCATCAGACGGCTGCAACACCACAAGAAGCAGCCCTCGAGTGCCCTAGATGTGATTCCTTGGACACCAAATTTTGCTACTACAATAATTACAGTCTCACACAGCCGAGGTATTACATTTAGAAGGTACTGGACAAAAGGAGGAACCATG